CCAACCTCTTTGATGCCTTCCTATCCCATCCCCCACAGTGCATTAGCGAGTGTCACCACTTCTGTGCCTAGGTAGAAAATTCTCTTTCTCAAACTCGACTGCCATCACCTTGATTCAGGTCATGCTTCTGATTCCCCTTTTATTGAAATTACCTCTAATCTTCTCCCCTAATGCCACAACCAACATGACCTTTCTCAAATGTGAACCTTGTTGTGCCCCCTCTCTCTTGCTTAAAATCCTTCTCTGGCTCCCTGTTGCTCTCGAGTCTGGACTCCTGTGCACGCTTCTGGGGTTCTGGGGAGCTGGCCCTTGTCAGCCTCTCTAGGCCCACCTCTCACCTCCCACCCCTCCCACTTGGCACTGCGGCCCTCCTGCGTGGCTTCTGCTTGCCACGCGCTGCGGTGCTCCAGTGCTTCTGCCTCTTTCCTTGGTCTCTCTGTTCAAACTCTTTCAGGAGGACCTTCATGGTTTCTCCTGCCCAACTTCTACTCACCCTGATCTTCCACCACACAACTTTCACATTTAGCAAATGATATTGTGTGTGTGTGTGTGTGTGTGTGTGTACATGTGTATGTGTGTGTGTGTGTGTGAGAGACAGACAGACAGAGACAGAGAGAGACAGAGAGACAGAGAGACAGAGACAGAGAGAGATTGAGAGAGAGTTGCACAATGCAGTTCAGGCTGGACTTGAATTCACTTTGTAGCTCAGGCTGGCCTTCTAAACTTGCAGTGATCTTCCTGCCTCAGCCTCCTAAGTGCTGGGATTACAGGCATGTGCCACCACTCCAGGCCTGCAACTTATATCTTACTGGGTCAGGGAGATGGCTCAGTAGAATAAGCACTTGCCTGGCAAGTGCAAGGACCTGAGTTCAATCCCAGTTCTAAAAAAAAAAACAAACAAAAAAAAACCCACCAAACAAACAAACAAAAAATTATCTTATTTCCACAACCAGACATAGCTCTGAGACAAGGTCTCTTTTTTGCAAGTGACAAAGTGCCATACAATGTGACAAATGACAAAGTGTTGAACCGTTTACTTACCTTCCCTCATTACTATACTGGGGATTTAGAGAGGTAAGTGACTTGTCCAGCACCCCTCCCACACCACCCCACCCCACTTCACCCCCTGGCAGGGTCTCAAGTGCAAAACCAGCCTGTGCTTCCAGGAGGCGCTACCTGCCCACTTTACCTATTCTCTCCCTTCTCCTTTGTAACAGAACCCGGAGCTCCAGTGGCACAATCGGTTAGTGCGTAGTACTTATACTGTAACAGAACCCTTTTTGTTTGGGTTAGCAGCATGCCCAGTTAACATTGTTGGCCTCCATTTACAGCTACCTGTGCAATGTGACTTGGTCCTATGCAATACCCAGGAGTCTACTTCAAACAGAATGTGGACCAGGTGACTGAAGATCCACCATCCTGTGAGGTTTCCTTGAGGAAGGGAGTAACGATTGAAAACAGTAGAAAAATAGGACCCTAGGTTCCGGCTAACGTCATGGCCATCTCAGTCACACTCATGGCCTCTTTTCTAATGCCATGGTAATAGGAACTGTCTCATTAAGCCATAGAAGTAGAGCCCTGGCAATCCACAGCCAGACCTGACCCAGAGGCTCCATTGAAGTCTCGCCCCTCTTGCACCACTTGGACATGACTCAGAAGCAGCAGCCAGCATGGGTGATATAAAGTGTTTCTTTATTTGAACATCATTCCACCTGCACTGAAGCTCAAATCCAGCAGCAGCAGAAGGGGTCAGGGCCAAAATAAAATGTTACCAAATTGGACAATGAACAGTGAGGACACATTCAGACAGAACTTACTGGTGGGGTGTAGACAACACCAAGCTATCCTAAAGACACAGCAGAGGCCCTTGGAGGTCCGTCCATCAGAGCCCTGGGAAAGGACTGACTCCCCTGTTCCAGTGCCACTCAAAAGCTAGCCCCGAGGCAGGCAACACAAGTTTCCTGTGTTGAAAAAAATCCCAGCTTCTCCATAGAGGATTCCTTGGCTCAGCTCACACTGGAGCTGGAGAAGGCTGACTCCTGGGTCCAAGCAGGAATCTCAGGAGGTCAGACACTTTTCCCACAGCCTTGCCTAGAAGTTCTCATCTTCTTGGCTACTCCAGACCTGAAAAGATCTTGCTCCTACCCACATCCTTTCCCCTCAAAGGAAGTTTCCTCTACAGGCTGTGGTCCCCAAAGAGGAATGTTCCCCTCCCACAGCCCAGGTAGTAAGGACTGATTAATGCCCTAGCCAGAGGCTAAACTGCCTCCAGGTATGGCTCCTCTTCTTCTGAAACAGTACCCAGTCTAGTGCAGAAAAAAAGCAGGTCGGGTCAGATCCCTCTGACCTATCAGCACAGGCAGAGGATTCCTCCAGAGACCTAAAGTCTGGAGGCTCTCAGATGGCACTCAAGAGGCCCTCCTGGGGTCAGATCTTTTCCCCAAGACCAAACCCACTTTTCAGGCTCTGCATAGGGACAAATCAAAGGCCTGTCCTTTGCCTGGTGCTGCATTGCCCCACAGGCCACTGCAGCCACTCGCCTGGGCCCTCAACAGAAGCACCTTTCCCTGCTCTGTCCCACCTCTGCTCAGTCTTCCAAGGAGGGGCTATGGTTTGCTTCCTACTCCTACTTGTCTTTTCCCTAAACTACTCAAGGGCTATCCAAGGCCTCAGCCCACCCCATCCTGTTCTAACCCCAAGACGCTTGCTTTTTCCTAGGCTGCCCCTTGCTCCACCCAGGCAGCAGCTGGCTGGGTAGAAGATGGCATGGAAGCAATACCAGACCACCCCAAAAGGGAACTGCCCCTCTCCCCACCCCCCTGTCAGTGCTGACCCACTCCTAACACTCAGGAGACTAGGCTCCCCTCTGGATGGCTGCCCCTACAATCCTCCTGGGGCTCTTGTGCCCCTGGTCTCCAGCCAGGGGGCCTCCAGGGGGTGGGTTCTAGCCTCCACTACAGCAGGGGGCGTTGGACCTCTGGTGTCCTTTGGAAAGCAAGCAGCACCGCCCCTGTGGCCCACGCAGCAGCATCCGGCTCCACCATTCTCTTCTTCCAGGCCCTTTCCTTGCACATCAGTGTTGCCCCCTGCGAGCCATCTCTCCATTAGCCTTGCCAGCCACTCCTGTCTCTCCACTCCTTCCTCTTCCCCCAGATGCCTTCTCATTTCTCCAGCTCTGTTCCTGTGTCTCCAGATCCCTCTCAGTTCTCTCTGCATCTGCCTCTTCCCTGCTGCTTTTACGCCCTCTGCACCCTTGGTCCCCCTTTCTTCTTCTTCCCAGTCCCTTGCTCCCTGCCTTCTAGCACTCTCCCTCTAACCCTTGGTTCTGCTTGGACTCTGGAGAACTTACTCCTGTCCCTGCTGTCTGCCCCACCACCAGTGCTCCTGTGGGCTGGGCCTCTGCGAGAGTAAGAGGTGGGTGGGATCGGACTCCGCATGAGCAGGGGCTGGAATCTAAGGTTCCAGATGGGGCTGTCAGACTCAGCTCTTTCTCAGGTCCAAGTCCCATGGAAATGAACACAGGGGTGGCAATTACGTGGCTCTGGAGCTGCTTTCCTCTCCGCTGGCAGAGACAAACATGACCAACAATAACAGCACACTTCCTCAGGCAGCCTGGGAGGCGACCCTCCTGCTCCACAGTGGACCAGGCAGCAGGGACTCAAGATGAAGCTGGTCCGCTGCCCCTGACCAGGTGCTAGCAGGAGTTGTACAGCCACAAGCCGGAGGGCTCCCAAGGCTAGATGGCTCTGCCACCAAATCTACAAAGTAATATGGGGCATTCAGGATGTGCCTGGAGTCTCCCATACTGCTGAGGGAAATGGAGAAGCCCCACTGTGGGGGTGGGAGGAGAAGACTTCTTTGCCTCTCTCCAACGCGCACGCGCATACACACACACACACACACACACACACACACACACACACACACTCATGCCTCAGCTCCAAGCACTGCCCAGAGGCTGCACACCCTGGTCATATCACAAGGTGACAGGTGGGCAAAGAGAGGAAGAGGCAGGGACGGGTTCACAAGGCCCAGGAGTGGGGACAGGGGTACCCTGTTCAGAGGTGACCTGCAAGTTCAAGTTATGCAGAAAAGTATCAAAGAGGCAAGACAGTCTCTGCCCTTGGCAGATACCAGGGGTGTGGGGGCCACAAGAAGGGTAGAAGGGGTGACAATCCCCTAATTGCCCACCTTCTGCAGGCCCCCTCCCCAGCCCCACCCTAACCCTGACACCAGGACCAAGAAGTCTGTGCTATACAAAACAAGCCAAGGTCAAGGGTCCAGTCATGGGTGAGACATCGTGGATGGCAGAGAGGAGGCCAGGCCATCCAGGCTGGCACCTTCTCCCTGCCCCCAGAAGCTGCATCTGTTCGCAAGCTCTGGGATGCTTAGGGCTCCAGGCAGCAAGTGACAGTGACTTCCCATGCTCTCTCCCTTGGCACAGCTCACCCTCCTTCAGGGTCCTGGGAGTGGGCTGGGGCAGGGGCAGAGGAAGCCCCGGCAAGGCTGGTGGCACCTGGAGCTCTGTGGCAGATGTGGTGGAACCATCATCAGGGAAAAAAAAAAAAAAAAAAAGTAGGAAAGAGTCTGGCCCACCTGGGGCAGTGTTGTGAGTCAACTTCTGTAGGAGGCAAGGATATAGCCAGGATGCAGCCTTCCAGACTGGGGGAGTCTGGGAGGCAGAACCAGGGCACCTCCCTTCCCTGGGGATCTGCAGGCCAGTCTGGAGAGGAGTGAAGAAGCCAAGGGACAGGGGATCCAGGTCCCTTAGGCCACGCTGAGATGAGAACCAGAATCAGTCCCTCCCAGGGTCCGCAGGGCTCTCCCCACTGCCAGGCTGCAGACCGGCCCCGTCTTTTCTTCAGAGCCTGGAACTCCCAGGCTGGCTGTAGTTGATAACTCAGTCCAAGATCTTCCCTCAGAGCCTGGACAGAGGGATGAGAGGGCAGGTGACAGGACAAGCTGAGGTCAGGCCAATTCCTGGGCTGGGATGTTGGCCTTCAGGGTCCCTGTGAGTGAGCCACAGGGCAGGGGAGGACTCCCCATCCAGAGACCTCACCCCCTGGCCGCAACACAGAGCTTACTGTAGCGCCCACGAAGTCTAAGAGAAAGAGAGAGAGAATTGGAGAGCATCAGAGATCAGCTAGGCAGAGACCTCCCTCAGCCACCCTCAGGGCCATTCAACTTTCCTGAGCCCACGTTTGCTGAAGACGGGGATGACGCTACTTTGCAAACTGAGAACCAGTCCAGGGCCTGGCACACAGCATGCCTCAGGATAGTGGTGGTGTGGTTTTTCCCTTTTGTTCTGAAGGCTTGTGACTCAGAACTGAACTGTAAGGCTCACTCATCTTGAGCTCCCAATGAGGGACAGAAGTCCCCAGCAAGGGAAGAGCTCACTTTTGGACTCTGAATTATTAGTAAGCTTTGGGGAGGGAGGCAGGGCCCGAAGCTGACCACCTGGTCCTAATTGATCCCACACTGAGCCTCAGAAAGACCATGGGAGCCGGCATGGTCTTGCACTTCTGGAAGCTGCCACCAGAGGGCAGGCCCTGCCCTCACAGCCAGAACACAGACGCCTGGGTGAAACAGTGATCCTGCTCTTCGCTGGTTCCCTTGTGTACTATTCTTGTCACCCTCATTTTATGAAGAGTTAAGTAATGTCTGAGCTCAGCCTTCTTGAATACGGTCTGCCTCAGAGTCCAAGACTTCTACCACAGTGCTGATCACCTCCTGCTAACAAGAGACTGCTTTGCTAGCTCTTGCAATCACTGTCACGACAGCCACTGCACAAGTGAGGAAAGACAGCCAGGGACAAAGGGAATTAATATAAAGTGCCAAACACGATCCCACTCCTGCTAACGGTTCCAGGAAGGTTGTGACTATGAAAAGCACCCCACCCCGCACGCAGGCTGGGCCCCTGGTGCCACCCTCTGCAGAGCCATCTGGCGCTACCATTGCAATTGGAAATGTGCAGTTCTACTGCTAGAGCAACCCAGAAAACACATGGGTGTGCATATGAGGAGACTGAACAAGATACTTACCTTAGCCCTGGTGGGGCAAGTAAAGCCCCAGAACCTCCCTGGGAGCCCTTGAAAGCTGGTTAATAAACTACAGTTCTTCTCTTTTTTTCCCCAGTACTGGAGAATGAACTCAGTGCCTTCACGCTGAGCCACACTCTCAGCTTTTGTTTATTTTTATTTTGAGACAGAGTCTCACTAAACTGCCTAGGCTGGGTTCAGATTTATAATCCCCCTGCCTCTGCCTCCCAAAGCACTAAGATTATAGGCACATGCCATCATGCCTAGCTAATTCCTTCCTTTTACATTGTTTATTCATGCATATGAAAGGGTCTAAAGACAGAAGCTACCCCTGAGACTCTGGCCTTACGTGTAAAAATTTTCTTTATTATATTCTACTGTTGCTTGATGTATATAAAATTTATGTGTAATGTACTAATTATATAGCATGCTATATAGTAAATACTGTGAACTGCACCATCCAAAAACTATAACTGGTCCTGTAATCCTATCACTCAGGAGTCTTAGGCAGAGGATCGACACAAATTCAAGGCCAGCCTGGATTACATAGTAAATTCAAGGGCAGCCTGAACTACATATTAAGACCCGTATCAAATAAATAAATTTAAAAAACCATAACTGGAAAAAATAAGAAATATAACTCTGGAGCCAGCCAGATAGCTCAGTGGACTAAAGCACCTGCGTAGGCAGGTGCAAGGACCAGGGTTGGATCCATGTAGGCCTTGCCGGCCCCGCCCCCTAAGGGGGACACTGAGAAAGACTAGGTGTGCAGCCTGCGCCTGTAATCCCAGTGCTTGGGAGGCTGAAAACAGGAGGATCACTATGAGTCCTAGCTGTGTAGTGAGATCCTGTAGACCCTGTACTAAAATACAAAATAAAAAAAAAAATATATATATATATATATGGGCTTAGGGTATAGCTCACTGGTAGAGCACTTGGCTAGCACGTAGCAGGTCTAGATTCCATCCCCAGGAATACACACACACAAAAGTAATAGAGAACTATAACTTTATTAATAATTTGCATATCCCCACATGCCCTCTGATGCTCCCCATTTGTCCTCTTCCATCCTAACCACAGATAACCACCACCCTGTCATTTCCCTCTGCTTGCTTTTGGTTTTGGTGTGTAGGGGAAGAGGGAGTTTTTAGATGAGATCTCTCTATGTAGATTAGGCTGTCCTTGAACTTGCTATCTAGTCCAGGCTGGCCTTAAATTTGTAGGGATCCTCCTGCCTCAACCTCCTGAGTTCTGGGGTTAAAGGCACACAGCACCATGCCCTGTTTTATATCCCATCATACCATACTGATGCCACATTTGCTTAGTTTTGAGTTTCACAAAGATTCACTCTGTCATCTTCTAGAACTTAATTTCTATTTTAGCTGGGTGCAATCCTAGCATAGGACATGCCCAAACCTGGCCAATTTAGAGAGACCCCGCCTCAAAATTGTTTTTATAAAGTGCTGGAGGGCTGGACATGTGGCTCAGTAGTAGAATTCTTGCCTTGCATGCACAAGGCCCTGGATTCGGGACCCAGCACCACAAAAAAGAAGAAAAAGGCTGGAGATGTACAATGAGAAGGCACTGGGGTTAATGCTCAGTGCCAGAAGGAACTTAAAAACATAACTCCATTTTCTTCTCAGGATTCTTTCCCAGATGTACCCTCTTCTGTGGCACAGACCCAGCTTGGCTGCCCGCCCTGACCTGACCCTCCGCTGGCGGGCCTCGGAGCATCTCCTGGGCTGGGGTGAGGTCGCCCGCCCGCGATCACATGCTCACCCGGCTCCCCTTCCCCTGCCCGGCCCGCAGCCCCGCGCCCGCGCGCCCGCACTCGCCTTTGTTGTCCTGCTTCAGGTCCTCCTGGAGAAGGTCTGTTTGCCGGTTGCCCAGCACGAAGGCGAGGAAGGAGAGGATGAGGGCGTTGAGGATGCCGATGATGGCCAGGATGTACGCCCAGCGCACCGAACAGTCCCCTAGGGAGTACTTCCCGGTCTTGGCCCCACACATGTCCCGGATGGTCTCCGCGTCCCAGCCGTCGGGGAAGATCATACAGCCCAGGACCAGGCACAGGGCTGCGCGAGAGGGGCCGCGGTGGGGAAGGAAGAGAAGGCATCGTTACTCCGGGTACCCGGTACCGCACGCCCGGGGTACACGGGCCTCCTGCCGGGGGGATGGACACTTTTTGGAACCCTCCATCGGGTCACAGCCTCCACCACCTCCTCCGTGAAGCCTTTGTGGAAATACGGGAAACCAGATGAGACACGATCAGCACCCACAGCCCTCCCAGCCCTGCCTGGTTCTCGGCTTCGCCTCCATCCTCATCATTTACTAGCCTTTAGGGTTTTTGGTTTGTTTTTTTAGGGGACAGTGTTGTTTTGTTTTAGCATTCACTCAACTGCTGACTGGGAATCCTTTCCCTTTCTTCTCAGAAGCTGGAAATAATGCTGCTGTGGAGCAGGGAGACCCGGCGGACAGTTCCATCTCCCCCACTTAAGATCCCACTTCCACTTATGGCGCACAGGGCCGGGACCTGGAGGCCTCCGGTGCTGAAGCGGCCCTTGGAGAGGCTGAGCCCGCTGGGGTTTCAGCTCTGCGTGCAGGGCCGGGCAGAGGTACGTTGCAGCACTGTGGTGACCACGGCTGGGGCTGCTTTTGTTCCTCGGTGATATGCTGTAAGTGGGACCCGCGGGGATCCCTCTTCTTCGGTCTCACGGTGCAGGTCATCGGGTCCTTGTAAAGACTTGAGGGGCTAGAAGCCTAGGGTAAATGTTAGCTGTGTCAAACCCATCCTAGCCATAACATAGTAACTACAAATATGGGAACACTGGGGAAGTTGGCTCCCAGTAGAGAGGGAGAGGCAGAGAAGGCAGAAAAAGAATGGGTAGCGCCCCCTTAGCACCCATCCTCAGGACCTAGATGTCCCCTTCCCAGCTCCCAAAGGGTCAGGCCACCAACCTGAGCCAATCAGCTCAGTGCATTTCTCTTATGACAGTGATTGGCTCCCAAAGGGGCACATACTGCCCAGCAGACCAATCAGAGCCACAAGACTCAGACCATGAGGCTCGAGGTCTGCATCACCAGCACTCCCTGGTGGCTGGCTGTGGGCTTCATTGCCACCAGCCTCTGGATGAGGGATATGAGACACACAGTTCCCCAAGGGTCTATAGCTGCGGGCCTTGACTCCGTGCCTGCCCATAGGGGTTGTAGATGACAGCGAAAGGGCTAAGGGTTGGACAGTGGCAGACTGTGAGCATGGTATGCACAGGGTCTGGATTCAATATCCAGAGCCACCAGAAGAAGAAGATGAAGAAGAAAAAAAAAAAAAAAAAACAGTAGAAAAAAAAAAAAAAAAAAAAAAAAAAAAAAAAAAAAAAAAAAAAAAAAAAAAAAAAAAAAAAAAAAAAAATCAGTAGATAACAGTGGTCAGTAAGTTGCCTGTCCTTTGTGGCCCATCTGGTCCCCAGGGTGTGAAGGGCGCCTCAGTTTGCCACCACTTCCCCACGTGCCCCTTGGTTTGGGTCCCGTTGCCCAGCAGAAGGCTGCAGTTCCACCTCCTGCAAATGCATCTGGCTCTCTCCCCTCTTCCTGATTTGCTTCCTCCAGGCAATGCTCCCTTAAGCCCGTAAGGACTGGGAGGGGACACAGCTCCAGGTGCAGGACAGGAAAATACTTTAAAAGTCCTGCAGTATAAAGTAGCTGGGTATGTTGAAAAGTAAGTCTGAAGATGCCTGTTGGACACCTGAATAGAGAGGAGCTGGGGCAGCGGGGGCAGCCTGGGCTGGTGGCATAAATTTGGAGGCTTCACAATTTGTGAGTTTAATTCCTGGGACCAGACAGACCCTTGACCAGTGCTCCTGCATGGAATGGGAAAAGGAGAAAGCTTGTCCTTCCTCTACCTACACACACCTTTGCCAGGCCTGAGGGAGGAAGAGGAGCCTACACTGCCAGCACCGTCTTGCCCTCAGGGTCCCCTGGGCTCTCTACCTCCCCCTTCCCCAGGTTCTGCGCCGGTGGATAAAGCTAGTAGGGCAGAGAATGGACAGGGTGAACCCAGGCCTTCCAGCCATCTCCTCTTTGCCTTTCTCACCTGGGGCACCAGAGGGGCCCCTCTCCCACCAGTGTGCTTTGCTCCTTCCTGGAGCATCCGTGTCTCTATGGAAACCGCTCCAGTATTCTGTGCTCTAGCTGCATGGCTCAGAGACACTGCAGGCACCCTGCCTGGCACTGTGATCTCCTGAGGCTCACTTTCCATTCTCATTCTCATTCTCTCTCCCTCTCCCTCTCTCTGTCTCTCCCTCTCTCCTTTCTCCTCTCTCTCTCTCTCACACACACACACACACGTGCACACATTGTGCTCAATTAGAGCTTAGACTTCTCTTTCCCTTTTCTGTTCAGATCTGTCAACTTTCAACATTCTTTCAGCAGCACAGGGTGTCTAACATTAGATATCTAGCAACATCCATGACCTCTGTCCCCCAGGTCCCAGCGATGTCTTCACCCTGTCTTGAAGATCTCCAGGCATTTGATTATACCAGTACTTGACCACTGTGCTAGGCAGCAGGCAGCAGCATCCAGCTCCCCAATACTCCTTAACTTGTTCTACTCTAGCAGGCAAGTGATGTGACAAAATTAAGATGAATGATGTGAATGGGCTGGGTGTAGCAGTGCACACCTGTAATCCCAGCACTCGGAAGGCTGAAGCAGGAGGATGGTGAGTTTAAGACCACCTTGGACTACATAGGAAGACCTTGCCTCAAAAAAGAAAATATTAAGCCTAAGGTATAGTTCAGTGGTAGAGTGTTTATCTAGCATACACAGGTGCTGGGTTTGACCCTTGGAAGTACAACAGTAATAATAATATTAGTATAATATGGACAATATGATACTTGGGGGGGGGTGTCTTGGGACAGAGACTGGCTATGTAGTCCAAGATGGCCTTGACTTCAGTACATACCCCAGGCTGGTGGGAACACATGATGCTCCTCCCTCAGCTTCTGGAGTGGTAGAAATACAGGTATGAACTGTGTAGTTCTACACCTGGTCCTGGGATAATTTTTTTTTAATTAATTAATTTATTTATTTATTTAACATTTATTTATTGTGTGTGTGTGTGTGTGTGTGTGTGCGTGTATGTGGCCAGCTCAGCCCACCAGGGGGCGGGACTGGCTGGCATGTGGTGCTGGGGGATTGAACCGCGGTCCCTGTGCTTTGCCAAACTTGTTCCAAGTAGGTGCTTTAGACCACTGAGCCATCTCACCAGCCCCGATAATTTTTTTTTAAATAGCATTAAGTTTCTAACCATGTGCCAGAGTGCTAAGTTCCTAAGCCATCATATTGTTTAACCTATAAAAATAAATTAAGTGTAGAAGAGATTAAAAACCGAGGCCCAGAGGAAAGAAAGTATTCCATGTCTTATCCAGGGGTTACGCAGATATAGTAGTAAGTTTTGGGATCTGTATTTAAGGCCAGACCCTTGTTTCTTGAATAGACCTACTTTTGAACTGAGATGAATTTAGATCATTTTAAAAGAAGAAAAAAAAAGATCACTTTAAAAGAAAAGGAGACCAGAACGATTTGCCATAAGTAAAATGACTCCATAAATACAAGCACAATGAAACAAAAACAAGTCAGGCATGGTGGTGCATGCTGTAATCCCAGCACTCAGGAGGCTGAGGCAGGAGGATTGTTGAGAATTCAAGACCAGCCTGGGCTACAAAGTGAACTCAAGGCTAGCCTGAACTACATAGTGAGACCCTGTCTCAAAAAATTAAAAATAAAATAAAAACAAAATTTAAAGCAAGACAAGAAAGAAAGACAGTATTCTTTGATTCTAGGTGGGCACTTTTACCAACCAAGTGCTCTGAGCCTAAGGGCCTGTGAGTAGGCAAGAAAGGCGCTGAAGATTTACACATCAGCAGCAAGCTGATGTCACTTCTTGGAGGCAGGACACTGGGTGTGGAACAGTGTGCGCGCCTCTGGTGCCTGGTACTATCTTGGCCATGTCCTACATTTGGGGAACAAATCCCACCTTATCCTGTGTCATACAAGGCTCAGCTCCACTCTTTGTTGATATTGTTGGTTGGTTGTATTTTTTGAGACAAGATCTCATGATGTGCAGGCTGGCCTCAAACTCATGGTGATCCTCCTGCCTCAGCCTCCTTAGTGCTGGGATTATAAATGTGCACCATTGCACAGGCTCATCATGAAACTGTACTTGAGGTAAAGCAATGAGCCTCTCTGAGCTCACTTGTGAGACAGGGGTCATGACATTCCCTTGATCCACTTCTGGGGGAATCACAGGAGAGGGGTTAGTCTGGTAAGTCCTCAGAGTGGGTGCAGACAAGTCATGCTGACTCTCAGCAGAATAGAAAAGCCTCAGACAGAGAAACAGGGCTGTTCGACACAGTCTAGAAATGACAGCTGGATACTCAGCTATAATCCCAGCACTCTGGGCAATTTAGCAATCTAGCAAGATCCTCTCTCAAAATACAAATGAAAAATGGCTGGGGACGCGTAGCTCTGTGCAAATGCCCTGGATTCAATTACTAGTACTGGAAAAAAGGAAAAGAAGTTAACAGTGGCAGCCTGCCAAGGAAGGTAAGCTCACTTCTTCATGAACACATGGAAATCAGACAGCAGCCCCCTGAACAACCAATGGGTCGCAGATGAAATTAAAGAACAAATCCAACATTTTCTATTAAATGAAAATGCAAATACAACACATTGGAATTTATGAGACAGAATGAAAGCAGTCCTATGAGTGAAATTTATATTAGTGGATACCTATATCAGGAAAATATAACAACCTATAAAGAACCAACTGAATATTGAACCTCTACTAAAAGAGCAAGTCAAGCCCAAAGCTTGTAGGAATGAAGAAATTATAAAGAACAGAACAGAAATTAATGCAATGAAGACAAACAAACAAACAAAAAAACATAAAAAGAATGACTCAGGGTTGGGGAGATAGCTCAGTGGGAAAAGTGCTCGTGTGGCAAGCACAAGGTCCTGTGTTTGATCCCTGATACCACCAAAAGAAAAAAAAAAAATTAACGAATCAGAGTTGGTTCTT